CCCCAAAACCCCAAAACCCCAAAACCCCAAAACCCCTAAAAAATCTGAAAAGGTTGAAACTATCTTGACCTAAAGTGACTTTTATTTTTCAAAATATCTTATGCATGAAATTTAATTTATTTTAAACATGAATTCTACAGATAATTTATTTACAATATTTGCATTATCTTCTGAAAATGTTGTTTCTTGACTTTGCATTATTGATCAGATTCAACTTTCTCCTTGAGTAGCTTAGCCAATAAAATTTTCTCAATTACATTAGAGGTTGATTCACAATATGTTCGAAGAAACATCTCATCAAGGACATCGAAGAGCCGATTATTTTTATTGTGTTGATTCAGCTCCTTATTTTCTCACTGAATCAATAGATTAATGCTATCCATCTCTGAGCAATAAGCATGATCAACTTTGTCTTCAGCTGATCTCTCAAGAGATAGATTAGTCATGATATTCTTATTTATCAATATATGCTTGTTGAGCTAAAATTGGCATGAACATGATCTTGTTCTTCTTGAATCCCTTCCTAGCCATAGCAAGGCTTTTAAACCCTGGAATGACTCTTAAGACGACTTTCCAGTAGTTGTTCTATAATTCTTAGATTATTTTGTGCTTACTCAATAACTGCTCTCTCGATATGTGTTCCATCGACAACGGAAACCTCTCCTTTGCCACCTTCTTTGGCAAAAACTTTTTGAATGAAGGGATCAAAGAGCCAAAGAGATGTATCTTTACACATAAGGAAGTTCCTTACGTCTTTTACTCACTGAGCAACACCTCTGATGGTAGTCTGGCTCCGGAGATGTTTCAGAGCACTGCTTAAGAACTGGAATTGGACCATACATTTTGTAGAGTCTAGAAATTTTGTTCGCATCGTTTTATTCAGCTTTCTTAGTTTTTCTAAATCCTCTAAATTTGCTTTGCTCATTTTGCTTCTAGATCTATTTGCGATATTTTAGAGCAGATTGTTTAATTTCAATTTCAGGGAATTTAAATGACACTTTTGACCCTCTATATCATCAATTTTTACTGATAAACTAAAAAAAAATTCTAAATAAATTAGAAATATCTTGAGTACCTATAATATATCCTATCTTTTTCTTTGTGGCTAAGGTTCCTATACCAACAATCTTCGACTAAAACTCCTAAAATTTCCTTTTAAGCTAAACTTTCGCTCATATACAGGAACCAATTTTTGATGCATGCTTCTTTAGAAGTAAAAATGCGTGGTTGATTAGTGATTATGCTGAATGGCTTAACAACAGTTTGTGGTATGAAGTTACTAGCAAGGTATCGGGTAATTGAAGTGGATGGTATAGACGAGATGATGAGAGAGAAGTCTGCTCAGATGTGGACTGAAGCTTATTTGGAATTCCTAGCTCTTTGTATCTCATTAATATTTAGAATGTGTAGCTGTAATTTTGGAAGTGAGGGTATGGGTTCAAATTTTAACATCTCAAAGTTACTTTAAACTATTTTAATTTAAATCAAAATATCCTAAATTAAGTGAAAAATTCTGACTGTCCGCAATAAAGCACCTAAGATGCTAAACTTCAACTAATTTTATCCACACCTTATCAAATTTCTTCTCTCTTTCCCTCTTCTATACCACGATCTTCCATTTCCAACTACCTTGCTAACCATGCATGACTAAAACTGCTAGTAAGCCGCTCATCGCAACCAATAAACACCCACTCATTCTATTACGAAATAGATATTAGCCAATCATTAAATCTCCGTATACCTAAATTTCTGGTCATCCTTCCCTTCCTTGCCTAAAAATATTAACCTGCACTAACCTTTTTCTTCAGGAGGGATAATCTCTTCCTGTCAGTTTTCACACAGAACTCTTTCTGAATTTAAGAATCCAAAATTTGACCGGCAATGCTTCCTGTAGAACATCAGTGAATTAGACAACGACTTGTTATTTTTGGGTGAGAGTAGTTATAGTGTTGTGAGCAATGTTGAGCTTGGAGCGAAGAAACTTGCTCTCCTTTTTGTAGTCTTTTACTACTCTGGTCTGGTAGAATTCGTGAATATCTCCAATGTCATGCACAACCTTGTCTTGGATTGGAAGGGATTCTGGATTAGATGGGTTCTCTTGCATTTGATTCTTGATCATTACTGTATCGTCAGAGACGAGGTTAAGCCAGATTTTAGAGTTTTCGTTTGTTAAATTTTTCTTTGCGCTATTTATGTTTGGTGAGAGTCCCTGGAGATTTCAGAAATCCTTCTTTAGGACCCTGGCTCGAATTCGGAGAGGATAATCTCTCAGAATATTTCCCTGCATTATTCTTATCATAACTGGGAACAAGAATTTGACATTGGTCAAGAGTAATTTTCTTTTTAGTATAATCACCATCCTTACAACCAGTCCATTTCTTGGTACTTCTTAAAACATTTGCATAAGCAGTGCTGTCTATTTGAATATATAACATGTAAAAGTTACTAAAATTTTTCCTCAACTCAACAGACTGTTTCCTCTCTTTAAGTTCTTGTCTTCCTTTGCTGAGTGAGAACGATCGATTCTTCGGTCAATATTTCTTCAAATAGTCTATAATTCCGCCATATCCTTACCTAGATTCCTTCGGTTGTCTCTTAAGACAGATGTTTCGATCTTATTGACCCTGTTAGCATAAACTGTTTTGTTCAGAGTCCATGTATTGGCTGTAGTGGTTACATTCCTTGAATAATTGTGAAATGACCCGTTATCCTCAGTGATCAGAGGTTTAAGCCTAGTTTTGACCCTTTTGTTATTGACTGTGATAGAGATGGCTGATGCTGTGAGGTTAGTGGGGTGGCTTACGGTCTGTTTGGGTTGGCTTTGTTGCCATTATGAAATAAAATAAATTAGGTAGGAAGCAATTTTGTTGGTTGGTGGGGTTTTGGGGTTTTGGGGTTTTGGGG